CTGCTGAAGCCCACTCAATATCCCTCGCAGTGATTGTGGCATCTTCAATGAGTGTTTGTTCTCTAATCTGCATATTTATTGCCCTTTCTGTTGCTCGCTATATTTTGCAACGTGCCTCTCTCCCTGTTCCTTTGTACAATTTTCACATTTTGTTCCGTGTCCCCTGGTCAGCATCCATGTCAAGGCAGGCAACATGCCATCTCGTGCTCTCCAGCATGGTGAAGTATGGTCGAAGAACAACAACAAGACTTAATGTTGAGAATGATTGAAGTGTAACGTTGGAGCAACTGCTAGAGCATTCATTCAGTGCTGCAAAAAAAAGATAAGTTAGCAACATCACAAGATTCCTCAGTCACATCGCCAGGTAACCGTAGATACTGGTGGTTCATGACTGTAATTCATAACTCTGGTAGGCCAGGGTTGGTGGGTCACCAACATTTATGAAACACTCTCTCTACCCGTTGGCTATCGAGGTCACCATCTGCCACCTTGCCAGGTGAATGGTAGTACAGCAAGTGAATTAATTTCGATATGTATAGGGATTTGGTTAAAAAATACACAAATACATCTGAAATGTTTATTTGGCACATTCCTTAATTCTTTTGTGTAGATTTACCTAATTTGAAGGATTTTTTTTAAAGCTAAACACAACTGGGATTTCTTTAATTGGACGTAATTGGTAATAGGTTGCATCTTAGACAGACAAATGCACAATTGTGCATTGTAAAGCTACTTGAAGCATTAATAGTTGCCTAAATATTTTTTTGGGGGGTAAGACCGCGTAAATTTATTAAATTGACTAAATTTACGCGATCTAACCCAAAAAAACCCTCTATTATTGATGATATTGGTCGCGAAAGCCCAAGTGTTAAATCGGATGTCACTCTTTGCGCGTGCAAACGGTGAGCATCGTCGTCAGACGTCTTGACGTAAAATATGCGATGTTTATTACCGCCATCATAACCACAATCAAATCTCGCGGCGATTCATTAAATCACCGTGCCTTTAACTACGTCGTCAGAATATGTAAATAAATATATAAATTACTATCACCGCCCCGCCTCGGATTTCTTTTTAATGCTTTTTTGTTTTAAATAAGGCTGACACACGATGGCCACAGGCAGTTATCAGCTCATAAAAACGACACACATTTGATTTAGTTAGTTTCATTAACTTCAGAAAATAGTTTTTTTTTGGGAACTGTAGGTGCATCGTGCTTATTAAACATTATCCAAGATGCGGTTATTATCGTAGTAAATTTAGCTTTTGTTTGCGGTTCATGGAGTTTATTTGGCACCGATTTTTTTTTGTTATAGCCAATAATTCAACGCTCCCTCACGAATTCGCGTTGCTGTAAACTTCACGGCGCCTCTGCAGGCAATTAACGTGTGCTCGATTACACTAGGTCACCACCTCAATACACTGGCTTCGTTCAGACTGCGGTCATTTAGTCTCAGACAATCTAAGTTGTCTGGCAAACCTCAGCGTAATTGGCAAAATGAACAACTGCAATAAAAAAAAGGCTATTGTAAGATATTGCCCTGCTGTGCAACTGCTCATTTGATTTGGTAAAAGTTTTGAAAGTGTGATTTAGTAGACTTCAGCGTACGATTTGTTTTTTCTTTCCATTCTCAACATCGAACGATGGGGCTGACTGCAGATCGTGATGTTATGTGTGCAGGGTTTTTTGAGGTTGCTTCAATCTCTTTACCCAGTATGTGGAGCAATTTTGTTAAATGGCAGTGGCTTGTAGATTCGCAATGCTGGGAATGGCAGTACATTTTTTTTTACACATATAAATCATTACGATGAGGTGCAAAGCCGTTTGTGAAAATTACTATGGTTTTTTTTTCTCTCCCAGGAAACCCATGGGTTGATGGTGCAGCTGTCAGCTGTTTTACTCAAATTGATACCAGCTGTACTTTGAATTCTTCTGTATGGCGTTCGAATCTTGTGTTTGTAACTGGAATACAAGGCACAGATGATGTTGCACATTAAGTATTGACGATGTACGGGAGGGTGGACGAACTGTGCACTCCCTCTGAAATCTTCACTGTTGTGAGATAAAAAAAAACGTGATGTATTTATTTTCGCCATTTTATCAAGATGTCAATAGTGTCCAGTTTGTTAAGCTCTCATACTCAACCGGGCTGATAAGTAAGTAATAACAATTAATAGTAACAAAACAGCATTTTCTAACGATTTTTTTTATTTGTAACGTGCAAAGATTGCATTTACTCTCAAACAAAAAATTGTTCAGAGGTTTAGGAAATTACAGACAAGCAGGAATACAGCCAAAAACCAGTGCCAACAATTGTCTGAGGTCGATGGTCCACTGCTAGATGAAGTTCCTTTACACCGTGTCAGTCATGGGGATTGGTTGACCATACTTTACCATGCTGGTCAGTGTTGGTTGTTGAAGGGGGAGCCCAGATTGGATTAAGATGTCATGTGCCACTGATGTTAATCATGTCCAGGATTTTAATTCGTGTGCGCCAATCACTGTGCCACCGCTCCCCACCGATGGACTGGAGTGGTTTAGTAATCTTAAACTAGCTCTTAAGAGGCAAAGCTAACTCGTTTACGCATGGCCACACTTTATAAAAGTACGAAGAAGGCAAGGTTAAGTCACAATTAATGAAAATCAATATCTTGAACAATGCATCTGGTGGGATGTCTAGCAGACGCGTCACGTGATTTCCCACACCTCTTCCTAGATAAATGCCCTTCTGTATAATGCTTTAATGGGAGCTTTTCCAGAGGAGAGTCTACATAATTACTTAAAATGTATATCAGTAGGATGCAAGCCAGTAATTAAAATCTTGCACGGCAAGTAAATTGCTGAACTCTCTGTGAGGATGTTGAGTGTCATATACTTATATGCATGGATTATCTTGGTCCTCTGGCGTCTTCAAAGTGGCAAAATACACTCGATAATGAATTGACCACACACCTCAAATCATACTCGACTCATTTACATTCTTCTGATACATTATTTCAATTAGTAGTAATGTGAACGCTGTATGTAATTGCATTATTAATAATAACACATACATTTATGGCCATATTTGCTCTACTTATTATGGATGAAGGCATCTGCAAGGGGGAGGAAGTAGAACTGATTCACATATCACTCGATCATGTCGTTAGCCGTGGCCGAGCATCAAACTAAGAGCGCCGGGTTCACAATGCAATGTGCTATCCATTAACTATCTTAATTTGGACTGCAGGAATTACTCTTTTGTTCTTTCGGTAAAGTCACGTATAATACAACAGTTGTATTACATTCCATTTCTAAGTATACTAGATTTGTCTTTCTATTTCATTTATACCTGATGATAATTGCTTGTGTTGCAATCGAAACGTCGTATGCTAGTATTTAATTTATTATTTTATCTTTAAACGTGACTTTACCGAAAGAACCAAAGAGTAATCCATGAACTATGTTTAACATTTGATCAGGTGAGGCCCACTGAGCTATGCAGCTCTTTTGAAGAAGCGATCTGGATATCACAAATTATAGCTCAATGAAGTGGATTATCACGTGGAAATTTCGAGTAGCCAATTACTCTAAACGCGTGTTTTAAATGTGGAGGGCAAACCCGGAGGTCCTGGAGAAAAATCCACGTGACCATGGGGAGAACATGCAAACTCCAAATATACAGGCGTCAGGGTCGGGATCGAACCCACGACTTCCTGTATACCAGGCGAGGCAGTTAACATCTCGCCACTGCGGCGCCCCCATCCGCTGGACGATTGCTTTCCAAATGCAATACAGTACATTTTACGGCGACACAATTGGCAGTATCATTGATGGTATTTAATGAGTGTATTTCAACATCGTGGATCACTAAGTTATTTTCTACTGCCAGGGGACAGAGAACAACGTCTGATGATTTATGCCGTGCGGAAGAGTCGAAGCGCTTCTTCCAGCCAAGACACCTTAGAATATATTTTTAAAAAAAAATCTGAATCAGAATCTTTATTGAGACCGGAGAAATCTGATGAGCGCAGGGATGCAATTCCTGCAAGTAGGTATAAATGTGGGGTCTCCTCGCTTGGAGGCTGGCGGAATGCCATACTCCCAGTTGACGGGGATTTTGTAAATCACAAAACAGATTTAAACACACACGTTGATCTATTACATACTCCCCCCCCCCCCCCCCCCACTGGGCTAAACAACAAATGGCTTCCCAGCTGACTACACTAATAGGCGAGTGACCTCTCGATGGACACTGCGAATGGTGCCTTGCAGAGTGGCCTTGAACAATTCCTGCACTATTGTGGCCCTCTGCACGGTTATGACAAAGTGTGTTTCCAATGCATATTTAATTGCTTGGTTAACACTTAATGGGACTGTGTAAAATTCCGCGCAGCCTTTGCCCTCCAAAGATAACGATCGATCGTTTATTACGGAGACGCATCTTTTTGGACGCTACTTATTCATCCACGTCAAGAGCACGCGGCGTCTTCGTTCTCAGCCGCAACGTGGCCCATTTGTCAATTGCGAGCAGCGCGAGGTCGTTTGTGGGCCCGTGCGAATTCTGGCGCCGTGGTTTAAGAGCGCGCCGCGCGCAGGGTTAACAATTTTACGGTTTACTTTTAACCGCATTGTGGGCTCGTGCTCAGACCGCCGTTTGCTGATGTGGCGGCCGCCGTTCGATGAGACGTACATCATCCCTCCGAGGCCCCATTGTCCCCAAGCGTGCCTGTTTGAGACATCTCGGTGGGTGCGTTCGCTCGTCACATCCAGTTAAAATCAGCAGCCTTCTGCCGATGTCCCCCCCTGTACCGCGGAGCCGCTCACACGGAATAACCGAGAGTGACTCTTACAGATGTAGAAGCTTGGCTGCACTTAGCTCAACATAGGAAATGCCATGACGCATCAAGTCTCTTAACCCTTGGCTATGGGCGGCAATGTGGCATGGTGGCAACGCCCGTGTTCCAAGCAAGGAGGTCATTGCTTCGATTCCCGACTCAGGTGCCTTTCTGCGTGGGGTTTGTATGTTCTCTCCCCCTGTTCTGCACGGGGTTCTGCTGGGGTTTTCGGTTTCCTCCCAGAGCTAATAACCCCCCCACCATACAATATAATTGGTTTTGACCAAATGCCCCCAATATTCTTGTTTTTTTCAGTAAAGTCACGCAGATATTTACGTGACTTTACGGAACGAACCAGGAATATGAATTCCCGCAGTCACGAAAGATTTAAGTCTAAAAATTCCCACAATGTTCAAAAATGACCTGCAAATTACTCATTTGGGATTAAACAGCACTGTCGTCCCACCAATTGTGAAAACTTGGCAGGAACATCCTGAAAAAAACATATTGAGACTCAGGGAGGATTTCCTGGGTGAACTATTGTAATAGTAATAATATGGCACAGTCACTTATTATGGGATGCACCCAGATTCCCAATTAACATAATTATTTAGTGTAATCGTTGAGCATTGTATCTGCTTTTATCGAACCTCATCATATACTGTATCAAAATCAATACATTATCAAAATCACGTTATAATCACCATCGTCATCATAATTGCGTTTCGCATTGGGTGGTTTAGTGATATTGTTATAGTGTGTAAGAATTATTCATTTTGTGTCTTGGCTGTCACGGTAAGGCATGGCAGGTATATACAGTACTATCAATATTCGGCATTGCAGGTAAACTATCAACAAATATTCAATCTGAAGATTTAATATTTTGTCTGGGACCTCTGCTTCATTTCTGAATTACGCGTGCAAATAAGGGAGTCTGGAGTGTCCAAATTACCCCACTAGAGGGCAGACAAGGGCTGGAATGCGAAACATCAACATAAAACTTCTTGGTTTGATCTCTTTTGCATACATAAACTTATTTAACACGTACAATGTCATATTTTTTATGTGTTTTTTTGTAATGTAAGTTTTACTCACGCGTATTACTGTTTCAAATAGATCATCACTGTGCTTGGTTTATGCGATGCGGAATTTTTAAACTTCGATTTGTATAACATAGACACCAATAAATACCGTATTCTCGGGATTATATGACGCACTGCCTCACACCCCGTGTGTGTATGTAGGTCAAGATTTGTACAAACTAGTTGACAACGATTTAAAGCTTTCGTGACTGCAGGGATTCATCTTCTTGGTTCTTTCGGTAAAGTCACGTAGAAGGGAAACAATAAAATAATACAAGTATAAAACAATAGAATTCTCACGACGTTTCGACTGCAACACAAGCAATCATCAGGTGTGAAAACGTCGTGAGAACAGCAAGAAAATGTTCTTGCTGTGTTTATCACACCTGATGATGATTGCTTGTGTTGCAGTCGAAACGTCGTGAGCATTTTATTGTTTTATATTTTTATTATTTTATTGTTTCCCTTCTACTGTACGTGACTTTACCGAAAGAACCAAGAATATAACCAACGAATGTTATGCTTTAGCTGCCCATTGTTAACACCCTTCACCTGCTTCGCCTCATACTGGCAGTTGTACGACTTGCAAGCGCTGAACATTAATGGTGGGGCTGGGTGGGGAGGGTGTTAGTTGACAACGGGCAAACGCTTGGGGTGCATTCGCCTAGCCCTAACTTCTAACCTAGAGAATACGGCAATACATTTTCTTCAACCTGACACAAATGCTGAAGAAGTGCTGCCATGAGAATGTGCTTATAGTCAAAATAATTAATACTCTTAACACTCATAACATTTCTTTAGCCACAGTTTGTGACCTTATTTATTAAGTTCTTCAAGACTGTGTGTTTTTGGTAATTAATTTCCCATGTTTTTTTTATAACACTATGTGACACAATTGTTGTTCCTGGGTAGTACATGTTATTTCATAATTGCTTAAGCCTAAAAAGTATAGACAATCACTATTATTCCCCACAAACTTTTATTTTGTTACCAGGGCAGTTATATTTAGAAATGTACCTATTTTCAATGATTAAACGGGCGAATTTGTGTCTTTTCGTTCACATAAAGTCAGAAAACAACAACATATGAATACAAATTAACATGTATTTATACTAAAGTAATACCAAAATTACTACAAACGATTTATAAGTGAGTAGTTTTTCGAGATTTACGATTGTATTATAAATCACTTTCACGAATCAGCCCCCAAATGTAGTCTCCCATCATGTTCTCGTTATACTGTCCTTGGCAGCGGCGTTCAAAGTCCAGTATATCCTGGCGGAAGTGCTCGCCTTGCTCCGCTGAGTACGCTCCCATGTTCTCCTTGAAATAATCAAGATGAGCATCAAGGATATGGACTTTGAGGGGCATCCTACAGCCCATTGTGCCGTAGTTCTTCACCAGAGTCTCAACCAGCTCCACATACTTTTCGATCTTGTGATTGCCCAGGAAGCCACGAACCACTGCGACAAAGCAGTTCCAAGTCGCTTTCTCCTTACTAGTGAGCTTCTTGGGGAATTCATTGCACTCCAGGATCTTCTTTATCTTTGGTCCGATGAAGACACCGGCTTTGACCTTTGCCTCAGACAGCTTAGGGAAGAAGTCTTGAAGGTACTTGAAGGTTGCTGACTCCTTATCTACAGCTCTGACAAATTTTCATAAGGCCCAATTTGATGTGCAGTGGTGGATTCAGCATCTTCCGGGGGTCCACCAGTGGCTCCCACTTGACGTTGTTCCTCCCCATAGAGAACTCGGTCCGCTGTGGCCAGACCCGTCTGTGGTAGTGCGCCTTGGTGTCCCTGCTGTCCCAAAGGCAAAGATAGCAGGGAAACTTGGTAAAACCGCCTTGGAGACCCATCAGTAATACCACCATTTAGAAGTCTCTGATGACCTCCCAGCCATACTCATCATACTTCAAGGCGTCCAGCAAGGTCTTGATGCTGTTGTAATGCTCTTTGAGGTGCACCAAGTGAGCCAGGGGAAGAGACGGGTACTTGTTACAATTATGGAGCAGCACGGCTTTGAGGCTCCTTGATGAGCTGTCAATGAAGAGGCGCCACTCATTCTGGTTACAGGCGATTCCGATTGCCTCGAACAGACTGGTCACATTGTGTCAGAAGCAGAGCCTATCTTGACGGGTGAAGAAGCTGCAAAAAGGTTGGTGATACTTCCTCTGATCTGCGACTTGCACACTTTTATCCAACAAGTTCCACTGCTTGAGCTGAGACGTCAAAAGCTCGGCCTTGGACTTGGTGAAACCAAGATCTCTGATGAAGTCGTTGAGGTCTTTTTGGTTTGGGTAGGATGGGTTTCTCTCCTCAGCTCCACCTCTGAAATTGTCATCTGGATCTACGTCTTCGTCTCTCTCTGACTTGCTGCTCTCTTCTAAAGATGGCTGCTCTCTCTCCGGAGGAGTGGGTACAGGGAACTCATGGCAGTGTGGCACCGGGGCGATGGATAAAGGAAGTACCGGATGCATGATAGCAGGTGCATTCTTGCCAGTCCGACGTTTGGAAGGGTCCACCATGCAGAAGTAGCAGTTTCTTGAGTGGTCAATGGGTTGCCACCAAATTATTGGGATAGCGAACTTCATGGATCTCTTTTCCCCTCTGTACCATCCTCCAAAAATACATTAATTTCATCCATGACTGCGTAAGAGATTCTCGCAACATTTTTCATATATGATATATTTTTTCAATAACATTGAAAATTGTAAAACATTAAAAAAAAACTTTAACAATTTGATTGTTTTTTTTTTACAAAGTTTAGAACATTAAATTCCGAGCAACAATTGTCCATCTTACCTTCCAGAGTTTTTGCATTGCTCGCAGGTGAAATGAGGTGTCCAGGGTTTGTCTGGATCCCTGACAGGCATGCCGAAATATGCCTTGTAGGCCTCACACATTTTAGCAGATGCTTGCACATAGTACTTTTTCGCTCTTGTCTTGATAAATTGGCCGCAGACATAGCAAAATGCGTCTGCCAGATGCTTGCAGCCTCTTGATGCCATCTCAGAAAAATGCAGATATGTATCCACTTAGGCAGCTGGAACTAAACTGATCTGGTGGGCTTAAGGCCCCTGCATTTATACTACTATTTATATTACTGGAAAGTTTTAGAATGTTCCAGAAGTTACTCCAAGTTTACTCAGCACTGAATCTATCTGGAATGTTCTGGAAAATAGGTACATTTCTAAATATCACTGTCCTGGTCCCAAAAGCAAAGTTTGTGGGGAATAATAGCCATTTCTGTACTTTTGAGGCAAAAGCAATAAGGAAATAACACTTACTACCCAGGAACAAAAGCGAATTGTTACACAGTGTAATGACTGTACCATTAGTTAAGAGATGGTGAACTATTTCTATGTTTTATCTTGTTCTTTTATTTCTTCAATGTAGTTTTCATGAAAAAAATACATTTTGGCTAGCTCCTCTTTTGATACGGACAATGTTTGTTATTTTATATATATTATCATGCGATAATGATGATGATGGGAAATGTACCATTTAATATACATGTTATTCAAGCCCGGCTCTTTTCTGTAGTCATGTTCTTTATACATTTTTTTGTCAAGGTCATTTAGTGCGGTGGGTGTTTTTTCTTATTAATTGAGGTGGCTTAATATGTCTGGCGAGTGAAAGGAACGAGCAAGTTAATATTACGTGCAGATAAATACTCACTTGTCACACAAGTGGTGTCATAAACTGACTCTGGATTGGTGTCTGTCTTATGAATATTGGTTCAGCCCCCTCCCACCTTTCAAAAAGCCCATATCAGGTGTGGCTAATAAAGTTAATTGAATGATTGCAAGGTTCCTAAGGAATTATTTTTTTTATCTGTTGGCAGTGTCTCATGTCAGCGCTACACAATACCCCAACTGTGCCTCTTGGGCTAATTAAAAGTGTGAGCTGGTTCATTCCTTGCCACATTTGAAATTCAAATGAAATCCGTAGTGATGATATGAACTGCCAAGGCACAATCAGCAGCTACTTTCTGAAATAATGAGTAACCTTTTCAAATATTTATCTCTTCAGTGCTAATTTATTTTCACAGCTTTAAAAACCATTTATAATAAATGTATATTTTCTGATATCACACAAAATTAGTTACTTTACAGAAGCACATACAAAACTGTGGTTTAAGTGAATTATAGTAATCTATACAAGTTTGCACGAAGGTTCGTTCAATTGCGAAAAGGAAATTACCTCTAGGCCTTTGGGCCTTCCAGAATAATACTTCTCGGGAATTATTTCAGCTGGCTGAGCCCCAGAATCAATTATCCTGCCCGACACTCTTCTGCAGGCTTAGGGGAGGTGGGGGATTTTAGAAGGTTGGGGGTTCCTGGAAAATATTCAATGAAAAATTTGCCCAGAATTTTTCTTCCAAATATTTTATTTTCCTCAGCAAGGCACCCAGGGTTGGGATTCAACTTCACTGAAACTCTTCAGCATACATGGCAGCACAGAATGCATGTCGGCGTAGAGTAAATACAAGTATGTGTTTGCTACAATAATCCTTGCTGGGCATGTTTTATTTACATAGTTTTGTGTGTGTGATATTTGACGTTTGAAAATATGGGTACCTGTGACCTTCTATAGACCAGTGAATACATTCTGTAGGGTATTGGAACAAGTTTGTATTGTGTATATATTCATCATCATAATCATATTCAGACTTGGTCAAACCACTGCTGGATGAAGGCCTCCCAAGGATGCCACCATCTTATTAATCCATTTTGCACCTGAGCACGAGCGAATTTCATCATTCCTCTCCTCAGCAGATGTCCACTCGCGCGCGCTCATTTCCTTCGCCGCCACTTTCCTTGGCTGCCACCGTGACTCTGAAGCGGAGCCAAAGCTCCCCGTCGCTTGAAAGCCAGTCAAAAGAGGCGGGACATTCAGGTAGTGTCTCTTATAAATATGTGTGGATGGAACGCTGCTGCGAATTTGCAGTGGGATGGTTGTTCCAGATGGCGGGGGCTGCCGCGGAGAAACGATTCCTGGAAGTGACGGTCTTGGTCCTTGGTGGAAAGGGGGGTAGTTTGTGGCACTTGCAGAGAGTTCTGCCATGAGCTGTAGTGCGGCGTGACAGAAGGGAACAGAGTTACAGTAGACGACCCAGAGAGACAAAGACGACAAAGATTCCCCGTATAGCCTGAACAGACTGTTAGTGCAAGTGCTGTTAGCAAGCACCTATGAAGACCGGAACGGCACACGAGAGGGTGAGTGGCCTACACCACACCCGGCCGCTTTTTTCTTCCAAGTGGTGATGTTTACGCACCACACCAGGTACTCATTTGAGGCTGAGTCTACCTAAGTGAAGCCCAGGACCGGTTCAGATAATCGTTACTTGTGTTGGCCCTGACCGGGTATCAAACTGGGGATACTGGGTTCATAGCGCAGCGCGCTAACCACTACACTATTGCTCCCCATCAAGAACAAACAAAGACAAAGATGCGCCGTATAGACCTGAACAAACTGGTGGACACAGTGTCACAAGCAGGTGATCTTGCTGCTGACCCTTTTGGTGATGGGAATTCAGTGGAGAGAGTGGAAGGAGATGAAGGAATCTAGCCGAAGATGAGAGGCAAAGAGGTTGACACAGGCAAGAGATGGGGTTTAAAACAATTGGCACGTCTTGGGGTGACTCGATGAAGATCGATCAAGGACAGAATTTCACGAGTTTGAAGCGAGAGCCCCGATTATGGTGGGTGTGTGGCTTTTGGAAGTTTCGGTGGTGATGAGTGGCCAAAACGGTTAGAGGACCTTCAAGTAAGTGACCGTTGCAAGATCTGACGACCTGGTTGGTGTAGCTGTCGAAATTTGAAGATTGACGCCAAGGAGCTTGACGTGATTGGAGAATTGGATAGAGGAGCCAGGGATAAATATGTATGTCTGTTGAACTTATTTCGCACCCATACGTGCTAATCGCAGTTGCGGGGGAAGGACAACAAAATAAAACACAATATGCTTGAAGGAAGCGTGGACTTAGTGCTGTGCAGGAAGGCTTTGTATTTTGAAGCATTTAAGGAGAAATTGTGGGCCCAGAAACACCGTTGCAAAGTGGGATGTGCACTCCAATAGCCTCTCCAATCCAGGAAGCATCAAGGGAATAATCAGAGGCAAAGGGTCGGGTGTCATGTGCATATGAATAGTAAAATAGGATGCAGTACTTCATGTTTTTCAGCGAATACAGTGTTCTGTTTTGATAATCACCTATTTGGTCTCCGGCGTTATTCGCTGCTCATTTTCCCCATACTTGGTGGCGCATGATTGAAAATGAAAGCCCTCTGGATGCGAGGACGGCCTTTCAAAAAATTGCCCTGGAAGATGTTGAGGATTTGCAGGCTTCAAAGTGGATGTCCTATAATTTAGCACAGACCACAACAATAAAATATATATGTATAATAATGAATGTGTGGGGTAATTTTGCACAGACTGTGCACCAATTCAGCACTACTTCAAATATTGACGGCCTGAAGAGCTTTCTTATTCCACTTCTGGCTTAGCGATCATTTTTACATAGATGCCTAGTTCGAGGCTTAATTTCAAGGCTCCATAGTGAGTGGCTACTATACTAAAACAAGCATGTTGAAGGCTGAAAACGCAGGAATTACATGGGAAGGTAATTTACCTAAGAACATGCATAGGTTTTAGAGCAGCTGCATAATGAGTCCAGCAGGCTTGCCACCGACGGCACATGGAACGACAGGTAGTGGAGCAAGACCGTAAACAAATGACAGTTAAAATAGATTTTAACAGCTTAGATCACAGAAAAACGAGGCTCTGATATCAATAGCAAGAGGTGCATTTCATGCTGAACTACAAGAGGTGGCTATACAGTTACACGCATAATAGGGCTATGTTCAAGATATGCAGAATCGAGTACAATGACGCTTGTTATTTCTTTTATGTTGAAATAATCTTACCTATTAAGGACTTTTTCGTCTGTCCGTCTGTGTATCTGTCTGCGCGGGTACCTTGAGACGTTTTTAACTGACAAACGGTGGGGTTTTCGTATCAAAAAGTACACGGATACCATGCCGTATGTCAACTTTAAAGTAGTAAAATTAACAATGTATTCTTTTTATAAGCAGAGGGTGGCGCCAGAGCACGCATCTGCGCATGCGCGAGAAAGCCGGCTCCGTGGTAGTGGTTGCCCGAGCAACGCGCACACACGATCGGTGGGGCAGAAATTATCATTCGCATTAAAAATGCAAAAAAAAAGACACAATGCTGAGGTAATTTATTCACAGTGTGATGTCCTCTTCTCCCCAATGTGTGCACTTATTATTATAGGTTCGGGAGATACTACTATTATAGTCCTTAGATAATATTATTGGAGAGCGGGCGGGGGGGGGGGATAGTGGGGAGGGTGGTAGCAGCCCAGCCCCAGCCTGCAAAGGTGCCACCTCGGCCAGCTGGGCAATCTAGGTGAGACGGGGGGCTCTGCACGGGACTAGGCCTCACCATTACACTCTGTGAAGTTAGTATTATAGAGTCAATATTTCCTATTATAGAGTCGGTTTATACGACTGTAGAGTAGGTAGATATTAATGCAGAGTGTGTAGTTACTGCTACTGTAGAGAGGGCGTTGAGGGGGGGCGGCATAGCAGCCTATCCCCAGCCTGCCATGGTGCCACCTCGGCCGGCTGGGCAATCTAGGCAAGGCCGGGGGCTCTCCATGGGACTAGGCCTCACCACTACACTCTGTGAAGTTAGTATTATAGAGTCAATATTTCCTATTATAGAGTCAGTTTATACGACTGTAGAGTAGGTAGATATTAATGCAGAGCTTGTAGTTACTGCTACTGTAGAGAGGGCGTTGAGGGGGGGCGGTATAGCAGCCTAGCCCCAGCCTGCCAAGGTTCCACCTCGGCCGGCTGGGCAATCTAGGCAAGGTCGGGGGCTCTCCACGGGACTAGGCATCACCACGGCACTTTGTATACTACTAGATACTATAATAAAGTCCATATATACTATAATAGAGTCGGTAGATACTACTGTAGAGTCAGTGGGTGCTACTGTAGATTCAGTAGATACTGCTATAGAGTAAGAAGATACTGCCATAGTAGATACTAGTATAAAGTTAATAGTGACTACTATAGTCAGTTGATACTACTTTAGAGTCAATAGATACGACTATAGATTCAGTAGATACTACTATAGTCATTAGATACTACTGTAGAGTAAGTATTCACTACTATAGAGTTGGTTGATATTACTATAGAGTCAGCAGATACCACTCTAGTGAGCGACTTCTGAGACACATCGAGTAGAAAGCTTCTTATTTATTGAGAGCACACTGGGCAATACATTGTGTAATGCAGCTACACATAGGCGATTCTAACACGTAGCCCCATCTCCGGCTTCGCTACGCAAGCTGTTCGACCGGCGCAGCGATGGCTACAGAGAGAGAGTCTTCCAGAAGATCAGCCTCATGGTCGGAGATGAGGAGACAACGATGAGCAGCGACGCAGCCAGGACCCAGGACCTGCAACAGCCCCAAACCTATTGTTCGGTCCCCCTTACATCTGCCCGGCGTGGCCAAGCTCCACCTTTGGCTACGGCCCCTTTACAGAAGCTTTGGGCTGGTTCCCTGGAGCTTCTTGACTGACTCCGCCTTTCACCTTTACCCCCGGATATACCCCCCCTTATAAGTCAGAAGTTACTACTATAGAGTTAGTAATTACTACTATAATCAGTGGATACTACTATAGAGTCAATAGATACTACTACAGTCAGGAGATACCACTACGGTCAGTAAATGCTTCTACAGTCAGTAGATACTACTATACTGCTGACTCTATAGAGTTGGTAGATAATACTACAGTCAGTAAATACTACTACGGTCAGTAGATACTACTATAGAGTCAGTATATACTACTGTAGATTTAGTAGTTACTACTATAGTCAGTGGATACTACTATCATCAGTAGTTACTACAGCAGATACTGCTAGAGTCTGCAGATACTGCTATAGAGTCAGCATATACTACTATACAGTTAGTAGTTACTACTGTAGAGTTGGTAGATACATCTGTAGGGTCAGTAGGTACTACTACGGTCAGTAGTTACTACTACAGTCAGTAAATACTACTATACAGTCAGTAGCTACTACTGGGCTCAGTAGATACTACTGTAGAGTCAGTAGATACTACTATATAGTCGGCAGATACTACTATAGAGTCAGCAGATACTACTATGGAGTTAGTAGTTACTACTGTAGAGTAGGTAGATACTACTGTAGAGTCTGTAGGTACTACAACGGTCAGTAGTTACGATTACAGTCTGTAGATACTACTACGGTCAGAAGATACTACTGTAGAGCCAGATACTACTGTAGAGTCAGATACTACTGTCGAGTCACTAGATACTACTCACTATTGTATGTAGGGTGTGTAGGTATATATGCCTACGCGGGGGTAAAATTGTTTTTTGATGGGTGGGAGGTCGACAATTTTCAGAAACCTTTGAGATCAACTATTTACCTCCCACTTTCTATAACTTTTTGGACTACTGCAGGCCTCTTATAACTTTGTTGATGGACAAATTGACAGACAAACCACATGCCGGCCTTTCACAATAGCTTAGTATTTGTGTATGTATATGTTATTTTTTAAAGAGAAGTTTCGAAATATATTTTTTCCCCTGAGCAACACTGGGTACTTCCCATTAGTGGCTTATATAATTCATATTTTAGGGCCATTATTCATTCTGTTGTCAGATGAAAGCTTCCCCATGCTGTGTCAGTCGTGGGGGTTTGTAAGACCGCACTTCTTCGCCACGCTGGTCAGTGCGGGTCAGTGAAGAGGGCCCACCAGGAGCTGCTCAGATATCGCTCATCGCTGGCGCGATCCGTCGCCGGGAGTTAAACCCTCACATCGCCGGGTTCAAAGTGCAAGTGTGCCTACCGCTACGCCGCCACTGCCACCACTCTACTGGTTTTGTAGGGAGGTCATTCATCAGTGGACGTACGCAACGTTCCTAAACTGTAAGAGCTTGGTAAGAGGGAGAGTGGTGTAAGCGTCCCAAGTGTTAATATGGGAGAACAAAAATATGCATTTATCTTCGAAGAGAACATTGCAACGCCAGTAACAGCTCTCGACTGTCTCTCCAAATGAGCTGCATATTTCATCCTGAAGCCCAGAAGGGTCGTTAGTGCAAAGAACACAGTGTTAAAGTTTTATTGTAAGAAGAAGTGAAAGATGTAAATTGAATCCCCCACTGGCCAAATGAAAACCTGCACATATTATACACCTTTGGGTTGGCTTTAGTGTTGTTATTCCATATTTGTATATATATGGAGATGAAATCGATGAATGTGAAAGGTTGATAAATATTTGTTGTGTATTATTGCTGCACGTAATCACATGTATTTGTGAAAATGGGACTTCATGAATATTCGTTGTTTTTTGCATTCTGTCACAAGATGACGTGGCCTGCAAATGAGATATTGCAGAACTAATTCCCAGATTTCTTCAAGTGAATTTTTCACACACAAATGGGGCCTACTTTTCCACGGGCATGTGCACTGCTACAGAGATGGATTTGGCACAATCCAACAGTTTAAATGTTTTTCACTAAGTTGTAATTTAGCCAAAATGTTGTGATCCAGTAAGACACATTTTAAAGAGATGCCTTTTCGTTCTGTCATTGGTGGCTTGGCTGAGAACATCAAGTCAATGCATTTGAGTAGCGAGTTTATTAACAGGTCAGCTGCCTAGATTCAAACCTAGGTTTTCAGCAGTGTTGGCTCAGTGTTCGGGCTGCATATAAAAAATGTATCGCTGTAACTCGTATTAATATTTACACTGTCCGTATTTTTTTTTACTCATATACATCAGTGTCACTGCACTCTAAAATCCTTCTGCACAATTTTTATTATCTCCGTAAGCTGTTTCTTCTTTCTTTATGGGATTTTCGCTTTATTGGTTCATCTTTGCAAAGCATAAGCATGTTTAAAGTTCTACAGTTTTCTTTCAAATCAGGTGGAATGCTGCCAGACCCAAGCATAGTTAGTGTACATATTTAATGAAACTGATTTCTTTCGTCGATGCCTAGTGCACAGTGTGATGCTTGTCAAGGACAGACAATTTGCTTAAATTATACGTGCTGTGTATACATTACAGAGTGTGTACCTATGTATACACACGAGCACATGTACATATACATACATATGTACATACATATCACCTATTCTATTATATATGTACATACTTTATAACAGGAGTAACATGTACTGTACATAGTTATGGTTACGTTTTTATTATTTCAATTCACATGTGCATACATCGTATAATATTGCTGTGATATTTTTTGTGAAAATGTGTCAGCACGCCTGATTACAATGATGATGCGTTTTGCTACCTTTTCCATGCAATCTCAGTCGCTGTTTGATGTTTGTAAAGTGTAGTCAGAATTATTTCTAAATATTTTGCAATTTAGCACTCGGTTTAGTGAACCTTGGATGACTGCATCGATTTCCGCCTTGTCAAATACCTTATCATAGCCTACCAAATCCGGGCAACTGAGTGTACCAAGGACAAATCTGCGTCCAGTGGGAGATAGCGCTTTGAGCAGTCGTGCTCCTCGTTTGTGGAACGCCTTGTCCCTCAGTCCGTTAGGGACGCTCAGCCAGTAGAAGTTTTTTAGGCTCGTCTGAAAACACGTTTACTTTCTCTTGCATATCCGTCTGTGTAGGGTTGTTTTACTCTTAGTTTTAATGTTAAGGGTTTTACTGGGATTGGGTTGCACAGCGCTGTGATGCCTTGTGTGAATGGCGCGTTTTTGTGATGGATTGTATGTCATCGATGGTAGAGAAACCTTTCTTAAACCCTGCATGCCCATGTGGTTGGTTAGCCTCTAAGCTCACGATGAGATCCCAATGATTGCTAATTAACAATATATACTTGCACGATAGTAATGAAGGCTGGTGGGTCTGTACATTTTTCAAGTAAATTTTTGTTTCCTTTTTGGAGATTGACAATTTCACTGAACCAACTAGAAGCATCTATTGGAGGGTCACCACTCCACGAAAGCA